AGAGATGAGGTCTCGCCAAGTTGCCCAGGCAGGTCTCTAACCCGCGGGCTCAGGCAATTCACTCGGCCTCCCAAGCACGCGATTGCAGGCTGAGCTACAGAGCCTGGCACTGTATTTTTATTTATTTATTTTTTGAGACTGGGTCTCACCCAGGCTGGAGTGCAGTTGCATGATCACAGCTCACCACAACCTCAAACTCCTGGACTCAAGCAATCCTTCTGCCTCAGCCTCCCAAATAGCTGGGACTTACAGGTACAAGTCATCATGCCTGGCTAATTTTTCCTATTTTTTGTAGAGACAGAGTCTCACTTTGTTGTCCAGGCTGGTCCAAACTCCTGGGCTCAAGCAATCCTCCAACCTCAGCCTCCCAAAGTGTTGAGATTTCAGGTGTGAGCCATCGTGCCTGGCCAGATTATCTTGATACAAGAAACACATCTGATAGCCAACAAAATTCATCACACACACCCTCTTAGCACAACAGGAATAGGAGGAAACTTCTTTAATCTGATATAGAGTTATCTATAAAACAAACTTACGTGCTAACATCACACCTAAGAGTGAAAAATTGAAAGAATTCTGAGAAGAGTAAAAAAGATAAAGATGCCTATTCTCTCCACTCCTTTCAACAGTCTACTGGAGGTCCTAGACAGTGTAATAAGTCATAGAGCATAGAAAAGATAAAATGGCCATTATTCACAGTGTATAAAATTACATACGAATAAAATCTCAAAGAATCCACAAACTATTAGTCTCAAAGGATAAATCATTAGCCTCTCCAAGTAAACTATTGAACCCAAAAGAACCTATAGGTAAACAGAATAAATCAAACTGTGACATAATTATATAAATGAACCCTATATAGCAATGAAAATGAATGAACTAAACAACTAATAACTAAATAAACAATTCATTCAACTAAATGAATGCTCCAAACAACTTGAGTGAATCTCACAGAATGGTGAGTGAATGACACCAGAAATAGCTCATACTAAAGAGATCCATCTATAGAGTCAAAAACAGGCAAATTAGTCTATGAAGCTAAAACTCATCTTGCTTCATGGTTGATGGATAATAGTTACTTTTAGAGAGGAAAGAGGGAGTAATAATTGGTAGGAAGTTCAAGGGAAGTTACGAGAATTCTGTAATATTCTAAATCTTGACTAGAGTGATTGTTACATAGGTATATTAATTTTGTAAAAATTCATTGAGCTGGCCGGGCTTGGTGGCTCAGCCTGTAATCCCGCGCCTTTGGGAGGCTGAGGTGAGTGGATTGCCTGAACCCGCAGGTTCGAGACCCGTCTGGGCAGCGAGATCTCATCTCTACAATAAATCAAAAAATCAGCCAGGCGTGGTAACGCATGCCTGTAATTCCGGCTACTCGGAAGGCTGAGGCAGAAGGATCGCCTGAGCCCAGCAGCTCGAGGCTGCGGTGGCCGGGAGCGGCCACTGCACTCCAGTCTGGGGGGCAGAGAGAGACTCCAACTCAAAAAAAAAAAAAAATTCATTGAGCTGTACGTACATTCCTGTTTTGTGCACTTTAATGTACAAATGCCATATCTCAATACTTCAAAAGAGTTTATTACAAATTTTTCTTATCATAGTCAACTACTCAAAACATCTAAATGATTTCTCATAGCCTAAAAGAAAAATCTAAGCTCTAAAGCATGAAAAACATAATATGGCTCCTACCCTTAACTTAATCTTCATTTCTGTCATATACTTTATATTCCAATTTATCAAATTATTTATAGGCCCAGGACATGAAATGCCGCTTCAACTTTCATGCCTTTAGATATTATTTCCATTAGCTGAAATACTCTCCATCTTTACCCTCTACCAGGCACCACAAACTGCCCATGAAATTTCCAGCAAAATTAGATAGCAACTCCTCCCAAACTTTTCCCTATCCTCTGTCCCAAAGTTAATCAATCCCTTTCCTACATATTTAGTGTATCCATTATCATATTCATTGAGCTATAGCAAACTGTCCATTTATATGTCAATCCATATTCTATTGTGCTGTAAACAATTCAAGTACAAAGTCTAAACGTTCATATAGTCAATACCTAACATGAGGCTTGGCACACGGTAGTCACTCGACAAATTTCACGTTTATGTGTATTTCCTTCCTAATTAAGACTGTAAAACTATCTAGGATGGAGCCTAAGTCTTATACTTCTTCCATAGCACACAGTATGGCAAAACATACACTATAACACACAACAGTGATGATTTAACTACTAATGAAATCTGTACCAAAACTCAGTTCCATGGACAAAATGTTCTCTTCATACCATATGATCACCTAAGATAAGGTAGAGATGTCCTACTGGAATTGCAAAAGGTCATCTTCCTTTTATACATAGAGATCCAGAGTTTTGAGCTAGAAGAAACAAGCAGAGATCACCTAGTCAAAATCCTTAGGAAAGAACTAAAGCCTGGAAAAATGATGGCTTGCTCAAGGCCAAAGCTATAGCCAGAAGGGTCAAAACTAGGACTCAGACCCCCCAGGTTCTCATTTAGTATTTGTCACAATCCATGCAGCCTCCCTTCTGTACCATGTGACTTCTCAAAGTATAACTGCTTTACTATTTTATATTTACATGAGTAACATTCTAGCTTGCAAGTCCCTTTGAAAATCTCATTAAAAATTTGTCTCTAAAAAACATATACTAAAAGTACCAACAAGTTCAACCAGGAAAACACCATTTCCAGTTCCAATATCAAGCACTGAAGCATCCAAAGGAATCTTGTGTTTCTGCATCCATCTTATTAGCCGGTTCATACTCTCCTCTCCAAACCTATTAGAACCAGAGAATCATTTACAATCAAATAACAGAGAAATACAAAGCAAAAGTCGCAACTATATTCCATTTAAGCTGTTTATAGCATATGCTTAAAGTCTTGTTTGAAAGTGAGAATATCTGTGACTGCTTAAGCTTTGTCTCTACTGTTATTTAGGTGAAAACACTACTAGAAATACAACAGAATAGACAAGGTCAGTTGATTAATGTTTCTCTAGATCACCCTTAACACTTGTTTGTGTTGGTGACTCAAAATTTTATTGCTTATTGAAGGACAACTATAGGATGAAAGTAATTTTCTAGTATTCTCATCAAATTTAAATGTGAGTTACTAAAAGAGGAGATATCTTAAATTTACCCACTAAAGTCAGACTCAGTCCAGGGATCTCAAGATTTTTAGCCTGTCTTTCTTTGGGTATAAGCACTTGGAAAAAGTATATTTATATATTTCACACACACACATTTCTTCTGGATCATAATTTCGATTTGTTTTCTAACTCACCATATTTCTCCCGTATCTCCATATTCTTGGAAAGTCTGCAGTTCTCTCTCATAGACAGCATCCCAACTAAGTAAACAATGAAATGCAACGTGAGAGTCTTGGATTAAACTGTATTATGAATTAAATGTGTGTTTCTAACACATTACAGAGCTATATATAAAACAGAGATGTAAAACATTATTAGCGCTGCCAATTAGTGCACATAGTTAAATCTTTTAACATCCTTGGGTTAAAGGAATGAAAGACACGGGCAAGCAGAGTAAGTGTATATAGTACATCTAAAGCACTCAGAAATACCTGATGCATAACAAAGAGCTATCTGTCCAAGCATCTCTAAGTGTCCGACCAGAGTCAAAAACTTGATGGAACAAGCATAGAGTCATTATTGCACTTTGGTCTCAAACGGGCACACACATTTTCTACCAGTACGGTGACTGGTCACCACAGAACTCACCAAAGATATGCTTAAAGGTTAAATTTAGGATTAAAGTATAAGACTTAAACGAGTCTCTTTTCTGTGCTATTTGTCTCCGCCTGTTCCTGTCTTCTGACCCTCTGCTTAAACTTTCTCGTAACCCTTTTCGGGACGCCCCTCTCCCACTTGTCTTCTCTTCCCACTTCCCCTCCCTAGAATCCCTGCTCCCTCTCACCCCTCCAAATCACCTTTCCCTAACCGTTCCCCACGGCCCTCCATCCATCCAGCCATGAATTCATTACCTAATCACTGAGCGTTTGTTGAGATCTGATTGCTTTCTCCTACCCCAAGACGCCCCGCTATCTCCTCGCTCCTTCCTGGGGTCATCCTCCACTCCCACCCCCTCCAGCGACCACATCCCTACCCTCGGCCCTAGCCCGTTTCTACTCCCAAGCCCGGCACTTCTCCCCCGGCCTCTTACTTACCCCTGCCCACCAGCCCTATTCCGTCGGCCTCGGCCTCTCCCTTTCCCCCTAGCCTGTCCCTCGGGCTCAAGACCCCTCAAAGGTCTCCCCAAGAGCTTCAGGGCCCGTCTCGCACCCCTCGATTAGCCGCCCAGGCCCGGAGCGCCCACCCTTCCAGACCCCCTGAAACCTCCCCCTCGGCGGCCCTCCAGGCTCCCTTTCGTCCCGCCCCCGAGTCTCCCTTCCCCGGGAGTCCTGGGTCCCCATCTGGCCATGCCCTTCCCAGGGCCCAGGCAGGGCAGCGCCGCTCACTCTCCCCTGCCCGGCGCCACACTCACTGCTCCCGGGTCCCCAGCGCCGACGGAACGAAAGCACCCTCCCCGGGACTGCCCTCTCCGGACCGCGCCGCCGCGCCGCCGGAGCTCATCGCGCTCAGCGTCCAACGCGGTCGTCGGGGCGCCATAGAGACGCGGCGCGGGCAGAGAGGACGCAGGCGGGCTGGCACCTCTAGGCAGCGGGAGGCCGCCGTCTCCACTGCTCCGGGGACCACGTGGGTGCGGGGGGGCGGCGCCAGAGCCGGGCGGAGCCGCGCCCCCCGCCCTCTGCCTTCCAGCCGACGGGAGCTGCACCCCTTCGTCGAGGTTCAAGAGCTACTGTTTTGAGAGACTGCTGTGGACAAGGGACCACTCCAGGTACTGTATTTTGGAAAACCGCTGGCCTCCCCCCCGTCAGTGCCTAAAGTCCGCACTGCTCTATGAAAAAGGCACACATCACCCTTCCTCTCCACGTTGTAGGCGGGTCTGGGAAGTGGGTGAGAGAGTCCTTCGCATTATTTGGCTTCCCAGCAAGAAGGCTGATTTCATTTGCGGCTGGAATTCTGAATTATGACTCGATGTCGCCAGTGGACATGGGAATCGATGGCCCAGGAAAGGAATGCCCAACGACTCCCCACCGTCCGCCAGCCACTGGGATCAGTGTATTTTGAAAGAGTATGAAGTGAGCGTCAGGATGCCTGGATACATCTCAGCCCGCCTCGTACCATGGCCTTCTCAAAGTTTTCACCTCTATGTGCTTCCGTGTCCTCACTTTACCCCACTCGACCTAGATGGTGCTCCCAAACTGTGAACCTGAGACTGCATCTGACTGTCACTGGTAGTTCTGCAGTATAATGCAAGAGATCTTATGGGTCAGAGGTTCTGGGGCATTTTCTGTAATAGCAATGGAACTGGTCCCAAACGTTTTGGCATCAGGGACCAGTTTTGTGGAAGGCAATTTTTCCATGGTCTGGGGGTGGGAGGGTGGTTTTTGGGATGATTCAAGCACATAACATTTATTGTGTTCCTTATTTCTATTCTTATTACGTTGTAATATATAATGAAATAATTATACAACTCAATTAAACAAAAGAGGTACAGATGGAAGTGGTAAATAAAATAATGGGCAAGCCACACACGGACTAAAATAAGTGTTGGATTCTGACTTAAAGTCTGTCACCAGGCCAGGCGCAATGGCTCACATCTGTAATCCCAGCACTTTGGGAGGCAGAGGTAAGAGGATCGCCTGAGCCCAGGGGTTCGAGACCAGCCTGGGCAACTTGGCAAGATCAGCAGCGGCATTAGAATTAATCAATCAATCAATTAAAAAAATTAGCTGGGCATGGTGGCACATGCCTGTAGTTCCAGCTGCTTGGAAGGCTGAGGCAGAAGGATCACCTGAGCCCAGCAGGTCAAGGCTGCAGTGGCCATGAGCATGCCACTGCACTCCAGCCTGGGCATCAGGGTGAGACTCTGACTCAAAAAAAAAAAAAAAAGCCTACCACCAAATGCAGCTGTACAACTGACATACATCATCAACTCACATGCCATCTACTGATAGGGTTTTGATGGGAGTTTGCAAACAATTGATTAATTATGGTCTCTGCAGTCAAACCTCACTGCTAATGTTAATCTGTATTCGCAGCTGCTCCCAAGTCCTAGCATCACCACCTCAGATCATCAGGCATTTGATTCTCATAAACAGCGCACACCCTAGATCCCTTGCACATGCAGTTCACAATAGGGTTCGAGCCCCTATGAGAATATAATGCTGCTGCTGATCTGACAGGAGGCGGAGCTCAGGCAGTATTGTTAGCAATGGGGAGCGGCAGGAAACACAGATGAAGCTTTGTTCAATTGCCCACTGCTCACCTGCTGCTATGTAGCCTGATACTGGCCCATGGCCTGGGAGTTGGGGACCCCTTCCCCTAGACAAGAACCTCAAGGCACCCAACAAGACTCCTTCCAACCAAAAGGAAATGTTTCCTCGGCCATTTGACTTGGCAGACAGAAGATCAATAACGAGTCCCTAGAGGTAAACAGCATCAACAGTTGCATATCTAATTCACAAAAATCTTGCTTAGGAATGAATATGCATCTCCTCCTACACATGATGTTCCAAGGTCTTCAGGCAACCACTGGTGATAGGACAAGGTAAAAGGCAGATGGAAATCCATGTGCATAATAATTAAAGAACTCAAGAAAGAATGCAAAGTAACCTTATTACAGAGCAATAAAACCACCGGATGTCATGGCCAATTAGTGCAGCCCTGGGCCGGTGGTTGTTTTGATCTTTTCTAGACTTTAGATGCTAGAGAAAGCAAGCTTGAGTGTGACTGAGTGGGCTTAAAAAGTTTTAGGTTCTAATTAAAAAGCACTCATGAAAGATGAGCCTGTCTTCAATCTGGTGTCTTGCTAACACTTAAGATGTTTTTGCTGTGTGTGATAAAGGCTATAAACAGTTGTTGGTTGGAGCCCTGGAAAAATCCACAGTTTATGTAGAGTTCCTTCTCTGGCACCAGGCGGGATTACTATGGCTGTCTAGTCCTGAGGGCCGTGGGGGGCACCACCTCTAATCACCCAGAGCAACGGGATTCTTGTAGGGGGTGGAGAAGCTCAATCTGGGTAGAGCTGCCCATCACCAGGGAGAAACAGGGATGTGCCAAGGAACACAGTCCCTCCCACCGGGTGCCCATTTTGCAAGCCAGAAGGAAGACTGCAAGCAATGGGTTGCTTGTCTCCTCACTCTTCCCATCCCTGCAACTCCTCTAAAACTCTGTTTCCTAAGAGTTCTCAAACACTTTCCAATTGGTAAACCCAAGGGTCAAGTTCCAGTCATTTACCTGCCTTGGCTCTCTGCAGTACTCCACACCACTGAACACTTCCTCCTTGAAAATGCCTCCTTTATTTCCCCACCACCTCCTATTCTTAAATGAGCCTTTTGAAAAGGGAGCTAAGCACCTGGCTCTGGAGCTGGACTGTCAGATTTTTTTTTTTTTTTTTTGAGTTGGAGTCTCACTCTGTCGCCCAGACTGGAGTGCAGTGGCCGCTCCCGGCCACCACGGCCTCGACCTTCTGGGCTCTGGCGATCCTTCCGCCTCAGCCTTCCAAGTAGCCAGAATTATAGGCATGCGCTACCACACCCGGCTGATTTTTTGATTTATTGTCGAGATGAGGTCTTGCCTGCCCAGGCAGGTCTCGAACCCACGGGCTCAGGCAATCCACTCACCTCAGCCTCCCAAAGGCACGGGATTACAGGCCGAGCCACCCAGCCCGGCTTGGACTGTCAGATTTTGAGTGCTGGCCTCATCATGTGTGACCATGGGCAACTTCCTTAACTTTTAGGGTCCTCTTCACAAACACCTGTCAGCCAGGCATGGTGGCTGTAATCCCAACTACTCAGGAGGCTGAGGCAAGAGGATCACTGGAACCCAGGAGTTGGAGGCTGCAGTGGGCTATTATGACACCTGTGAATGGTAACTGCTTCCAGCCTAGGTAACATAGCAAGACCCTGTCTCTTAAAAAATAAAATAATAAATAGCACCTGTCCAGAAAAAAGCCAGGTACGTTGGCTCCCACTACTTTGAGAGGCAGAGGCAAGAAGACTACCTGAAACCGGAGGTTCGAGACCAACCTGGGCAACTTGGCAAGACCTTGTCTGTACAACAAATAAAAAAATTAGCCAGGTATGGTGGCACACACCAGTGGTTCCAGCTACTTGGAAGGCTTAGGCAGAAAGATCACCAGAGCCCAGCAGGCTGAAGCTGCAGTGGCCATGAGCGTGCCATTGCACTCCAGCCTGGGCAAGAGTCAAAAAAAAAAAAGTAGCACTTGGCACGTAAGACAGTGATAGAGAGTAAATGAGACCATCCCTGTGAAATCCTACCTGTCTAGCATGGTAAATGTTCAGTAAATGTTAGCTCAGTTTCTTCAGCTATAAAATGGAGTTTAAGATGGGCCTGCTTTAAAGCAGTTAGGAAGATTAATGTTAGTACAGTGTATAGGTAAAGAGCTTAGAACAGAGCCTGACATATAGTCGGTATCCAATAATTGTTAGCCATGGTTCTTACTGTTTTTTTGTTTTTCTTTTTTTGAGTTGGAGTCTCACTCTGTCACCCAGACTGGAGTGCAGTGGCACGCTCATGGCCACCACAGCCTCAACATGCTAGACTCAGGCAATCCTTCCGCTTCAGCCTTCCAAGTAGCTGGAACTACAGGCGTGTACCACCACACCTGGCTAATTATTTGATTTACCATAGAGACGAGGTCTCACCAAGTTGCCAAGGCTGGTCTCAGGCAATCCTCTCACCTGAGCTCAGGCAATCCTCTCACCTCAGCCTCCCAAAGTGCTGGGATTACAGGCTTGAGCCACCACACCCAGCTGGTTCTTATTGGTAATGACTTCCAATTCTTGTGCTAGCTCCAAATTTTATCTTACTTTATTGTAGCTGCCTGGATGTCCCTTATTACATCAAACTCAATATGTTCAAATCAAACTCACTTGTACTCCCTCCCCCATCCCCATGCATGCAAACCCATTCTTTTCTCTGTTTCCAGTCAGTTGGCCCCTGACCATCTAGCCATCAAAGCTGGACATTATCCTGCCCTTTCCTCCATGCACAGCTCCTGCTGGTCTCCTCCTGGTCTCTGGGCTCAGAGGCATTTCTCCAACTTGGCACCACTGTCCTGCCTTCCTTCTGGCCACTCAGGATCGCAGCCTACTGTTCACTAGGACCATTGCAGCAGCTTCTGATTAAACCAGGAGTCATTTGGCAATAGGCCCTTTTGCAGACACTCAGCTTGCCTTACTTCCGTCTCTTCCGCCAGAAAGGCCTCCAAGACTCAGCCAGTTTTCCTCTCCGTCAGGCACTGACACCACCCACTCTTTTCCTTTGTATTTTCCTGCCTGATCATGGACTATGGTGTTATGCAGACTTGAACTTTATTTTATTTTATTTATTTTTGTATTTATTTTTGAGTTGGAGTCTCACTCTGTCGCCCAGACTGGAGTGCAGTGGCCGCTCCCGGCCACCGCAGCCTCGACCTACTGGGCTCCGGCGATCCTTCCGCCTCAGCCTTCCGAGTAGCTGGAATTACAGGCGCGCGCTACCACACCCGGCTGATTTTTTGATTTATTGGAGAGATGAGGTCTCGCCAAGTTGCCCAGGCGAGTCTCGAACCCGCGGGCTCAGGCAATCCACTCACCTCAGCCCCCCAAAGGCGCGGGATTACAGGCTGAGCCACCGAGCCTGACGGACTTGAACTTTAATCACAATTTAGTCCAAGCTAGGTGTGACCTTGAGCAAGTTACTTACTTTAAACCTCTTAAATCTCAGTTTCCTAAACTACAAAATGGTCATAACCCAAATGAAACTAGACTTTCCCCCTTTAGACCCATCATAGCCAAGTGTGGCATTTGCATGCATATATCACATGCAGAAATGCATAGTTTTGTTTTGATATATAAAAATGAAATCTTATCATTTGCATGTTTGCGACTTGCATCTTCATTTAACAGTATTGTATGGCCGGGCTCAGTGGCTCAGCCTGTAATGCCAGCACTTTGGGAGGCCAAGGTGAGTGGATTGCATGAGCCTGCGGGTTTGAAAGCAACCTGGGCAACTTGGCGAGACCTCGTCTCTACAATAAAATAAAAAATAGCCAGGTGTGGTAGCATGCGTCTGTAGTTCCAGCTACTCAGAAGGCTGAGGCGGAAAGATTGCTGGAGCCCAGAACATTGACACTGGGGTTACCGTGAGCATGTATGCCACTGCACTCCAGCCTGGGCGAAGGAGTGAGACTCCAACTCAAACAAAACAAAAACAAGATTATAGTGATATATTGCACTTAGAGATCTTTTCTTGTCAATGCCTGTAGAGCACTTATCTTTGAAACTACTTCGTGATAATAAAAATGATGGCTAACAATCATTGGGTTGTCACGGTATGACAGGAACTGTGTTTAGCACATCCAATATATTATCTCAGTTACTCCTGAAGATAGCCACATGAGGTAGACACTACTCTTATCCTTGTCTTACAGATGAACAAACTAGGGCATACAGAAGTTGCCCAAGGTTACACGTAAGTGCTGGAGCTCAGATTGGAACCCAAGAAGTCTACTCTAAGTTTTTCAAGCATAACCACTACGTGAACGTTCTCTATCATTATAGATGTTTTGTTGGAAGTTTTCATGAGGAAAGCAACCAAGAGGGATTATATCACACAACACACAATACTAGCGCCTGAAATTTTTTTTTTTTTTTTGGAGTTGGAGTCTCACTCTGTCGCCCAGACTGGAGTGCAG